AGGGGTTTTGGGTCTGATGTTGTACGAATATTAAGACCATTGAAGGCATGGCGATATCCCTGGGTTATTTGGGTATTGGGCCTATAAATGCTTTAGTGGGCTTGTATTTGTTCAGGTTGTAATTCGTGCCTCCGAGTTTGTAATATTTCATTTTTTGGTCAAATCCAATAGGCCTTGTGCCTAGAGGTTGTTTTTATAAATAAATTGCAACTAGTACAACAAAGGAGGGGGACATGGACCTTACCTCTAAATCTATGGTGGATAAACAATTAATTGCCCAAAAAATGACAATCAATTGAATCATGTACAGTGAGTGAAGTTAGACCTATAATGAAGAGCTAATTGCCTATCCATAGTTGGCAGACAATTCGGTATACAAAAATATTGTGAAATGAACCTATGTCAACTATACAAAGAATTGATTTTAAGGCAATTATGTAAGCAGTTTGGGAATACATCTTCCAGAAATAAATTAGCCTACATCTAGAAGATAAGTGTATTCTCCCTTTGAAATATGACAAAAACCAGATGTGTATGGTACAAGCTGTCTTTAATTTAGCTTTGACAATGAGATCAAAGAAAGCCAATTTGAAGACTAATCTTGCTGCCTCTGAATAGTGCAGCTGACATAAGCGATTGAGCTTATCGTTGATGTCTTTATCCTGGAAACTGTGGAGAGGAGGTGGACTTGTAGTAGCTGATAATTGGTGTAGAAACCAGACACTTCATTTTTCAATGTAAGGTTGATACAGTGTGTAGACTTTTGGAGTTGAACTCTGGTAACAGTAGTGATATGATGGCCAAGGTTTGGGCCCCTAGTTGTGTGAGGCTCTATTATTTGAAACCTTAGAGTGGACCTGTTGTACCCAAACAAGTGTGTGACATTGGAAGGATTATTAAGACAGACCCTGGAAGACTGATGTATTTCCAACAGATTGAGTATCCGGGATGCTAATACCATACCTTGGAAATGCACCAGTGATCTAGACCTGTCAATTATACCTACAAAAATCAGCAAACGGATTAGTAGTAAAGGGGCACCATTGTCTTGCTTCCAATGAATGGTTGTGACATTTCTGACATTAGAGCAACATTTTTGTATATTATGACCATTGTTGCTATTGTTCTTGTGTGTATGAATATGGATTGTTGCTCTCAGGTTCTTGTGGCATCTAAAAGCTTGTTTGGTAGAGTTATAGTTGGTGGGATGAAATAGTTGCTTCTTCAAAGAGATGCTACAGAATCTTTTCTTCCATATTGCATAAGGTTTATGGGATACTGTGAACCTTTGACTAACACTCAGTAGGATGAGCCTTGAGATTGCTAATATCACACACTGTGTATAAGTCAAATGATTGAGTATAGCATAGTGAATTGTACCTGCAAAAAAGGAAGCTAAGTTATTGAAAAAACTGTTTTTGTGGTGGTCGCTATATGCTTGCATTTTTCTTTGGATTCTGGAATGGGTGTTTAAAAATAAGGGAAGGGGGGAGTCTGTAAGAAGAAAATGGTCTCTACTACATTTGTGTACTAGTGGCTGTAGATATGGTAGTTTAAAATATATGGGTTGGGTGACTATTGGGTGAGAGAGGATCAGAGTACAACACTTCTTATAACATTGGATTGTTAGAAGTGTGCTTAGAGAACCTGCACAAAAGAACAAACATGTCAGTGAAAAACTGGACCGAGTGTCCATTTCCAAAAGTGCTGGATTTTGGTCTTTCGTGGATTTGGATATATGGGGACTATAAAGATATTGTTTTAAGAATCCTATTTTAGCCATAACCATAAGAAGAAGTAGAAGTAATGTGAGGTGGCGGTATAATTCTGTGTGTTTTCTTTTGCCTAAAGGCAGGGGTTTCAGGAAGTTCAGTTGAATTTGACCCATAATATGAGTAGGCAAAGTGTTGACACTGGAGAAGTAAGTTACTGCAGGCAATTCATGGCTAAGCTTGGACAAAGAGTCTGCAGGATAGTTGGCTTCTCTCTATATATGTGAGTACTGAACTTCCTCACATTGTAGATATAGGTTTCTCAGTTTTTGCAGATTCATTTTTAAGGTCCATAGAGGATCAGAGTTGGTTGTCAACCATTTGATCAACAGAGTTGATTCTGTTTTAGGGTGAATTTTGTTATACCCATTGATAATACACCACTGGATACCAATGAAAGCAGCTTATGTTTCTGTAAGGTTGTTGGTACCATCACCCAATTGACAAGCAATTGCTTGAAGAAACTCCCCTAAGTGATTCTTAATGATAGCCCCACCGCCAATCTTTCCTGGATTAGTTAGTGCACTACCATCAGAATTGACTTTAACAAAATTGGCATTTGGTTTAGTCCAAACAACTTGTTGAGTGGTAGTGCAATGCTTGGTATCCTCAATGATAGAGTAAAGATCCACCCATATTTGAGTCTATCTGATAGCAGGGTAAGTTGCATGAAGAAGAAGGTGAATATCAGAGTTAATGGAAAAAAAGATTCTAGTTATAGAAGACTTCTTTCCTCCATACTTTTCAGAGCATCTATTCATCTATAAATTCCAACAAATGATGATAGGAACTGTATCCCGGATTAACTTTTGAACCTCATTGTTTCTTTTCTGTAACCACCAGTTCATAAGAAGAAGTCTTAGTGGCATATTTTCAGTTTCGATTCCAGTTGGCCCTCCATATTTCTTCCAGACAAATGTTGCAAAGTGGCCTCTACTGAAAATGTGATTAACTATTTCAACTGCAGGTCTGGTACAACAGACACATCTGGTAACAGTGGGGTTACCAAATGATATTACCCTGTTATCCGTTGGCCACTTGTTTCTGAGGGCCCTTCACAAGTAAAGGGACAACTTGAATGGGATCCTTTTGTGCCAGGTCATTTTGTTGGTGAAGTTGGGTTGTTTATTATTCCTTATCACGTCCCATGCAGAAGCACATGTGAATGGCCCAGTGATTGTGGGTGTCCAAATGGGTTGGTCTTAAGGTTATGGCATATAATGGATGGGAATTTGCATGATGAGATGAATCATATGAGCTGAAGCAATTCTATTCAACCTCTGAAGGTTCCACTGTCCATTTTCCCAGAAGTGGGAAACTATAATTTTACCCGGTCTACCCCTTCACTTCTGTAATTAGCAAGTGCACCTGTACCCAACCAGTTATCCCACCAAAAACTACAATTGCCAGAGTGCATCCTCTATTGAATATATTTCTCTGCTTCTTTTTTTTTGGTCATCATCTTCTTCCAAGCTTGTGATTGTCCTGTGTCCCGTTTCTTAGAAATTGGATGTGATCTTTGGAAGTATTTAGCTCTAATAAAGTTTCTACAGAGAGAGGTATTAGTTCTAAATGTCCACTATTATTTGAATCTCATTGATTGACAGACATCTTCCATTGTTCTAAAACCAGTTGCTCCTTCAATCATAGGAAATGTTAGCTTATGCCAAGATGACCAATGATCTTTGTTTCTGTCTTTTTCCATGCCCTAGAATAAATTAGTATCCAGTTTTTCAATCTGCTTCAAGACAGTTTTTGGAGGGTAGAGTGCTGAAAGAAGATGAAGGGGAATAGGCTGTAGTACATGTTTAATCAATGTGGATTTTCTTCCATATAAGAGGACTCTGCTTGGCCATCATTTGATCCTACCTACAACTTTGGCTACAATGGAATTGGAGTACACAATTCTCATTCTGCCAGTTAAGAAAGGACAACCTAGATACGTGATTGGAGACTCTTTCTTGCTGAAACTTATTACTTGCTATATTCTTCTGACAGTAGAATTGAAGGCAGATGGGGAGGTCATGAAGTTACTCTTTTGTTTATTGATTCGTTGACCAGATGTTTCCTTATATTTACTGAGGTTGTGCATGATATAGAGAACTCCTGGGGCCAGATGTGAAGATGACGATATCATCGACAAAGCTCAAATGGTTGATTTATGGACCTCTTTTCTCCATATAGAAACCATTGAAAAACTGATCATGTGATAGGTTGTTGAGCATTCTTGATAGTAATTTAGCTCGAATGATAAAAAAAGATGAGGCCAGTGGGTCACCTTGTTTCAATCCCCTGGTAGAGTGAAAGAATCCACATTTAGTACCATTTATGATGACAAAGTGCCAGTTGTTTGACATTGTTCTCCATATCATGTCAATGATCATCTCATTAAAACCCATTCGTCTCAGCATTATGCATGTAAATCCCTAGGAAACTCTATCATAAGCTTTGCCCATGTCAAGCTTGATGACTACATTAGAGCCAATGTTAGGTTTTTAATTCCTTGAACAATTTCCTATGCCAACATTATGTTTTCAAATATGCTTCTTCCTTTCACTAAGACAGACTGATTTGAAAAAATTATTTTAAGAAGGATAGGAGCCAGTCTAGAACCAATAACTTTTGATATGATCTTGTTCAGGAAGTTGTTGAGGCTAATTGGTCTGTATTCTTCAAAGGAGTTAGGAAATTTCACTTTTGGTAAAAGGACCAAGCAAGCACTGGTAATGAACTTTGGTGTAGTAGCACTTCAAAAGAAGTCCAGAACCACATTCGGTAAGTCAGATTTTATAATGTGCCAGTATGATTGGAAGAACTTTCCTTTCATTCCATCTGGTCCTGCAACACTTGATGGAATCATTGAGAAGACCACTTCTTTGAGTTTTGCCAAAGTTGGATCTTTAGTAAGGAACTCATTGTCCTCTGGTGTGATTAAGGATGGGATATAGGATAATAGGTCTTCTCTGATAGCATCTCCTGTTTCAATGAAGATGTTCTGGAAATATGTGCATGCTGCTTCACCAATAGCCTCATCGCCCTGAACCCATTATCCTCCATCATCTTTGATTTTATGTATGAACAACTTCCTTCTTCTCCCTCTAATCAGGTTGTGAAAATTCTGTAATTGGAATCCACTTCTTTAAACCATTACAACTGTGTTTTTTGCTTTAGGATGGACTCTTCTAGCTTCATATATCTCACATAATTAGCTTGAAGCTCATGAAAGTTCTATCTGTCATTGCCATCATTGGTTTGAGCCCAGGACATCACAGCTTGCTTCAACTTGTGTTCATATTCTTTGGATTTCAGAAAGATATCTCCATATTGTTGTCTAGACCATTTGCTTAAGGTATTGGACAAATCTTTAAGCTATAGATGAAAAATCCACATGGCATTGCCATTGACTTCTTTGTTCCAGACCTCCTGAACTAGAGGAAGGAAGTTCTCATTTTCAACCCAGTAATTGAGAAACATGAAGTATCTTTTGCTTGTGTCCTGTCTCACATTTATTTCCAAGAGAAGAGGATTGTGATCAGATTCTACAGAGGAGATGTTAGTGATAGATGTTGTAGGATATGATATTAGCCAATTATCATTGACCAATCTCCTATCCAGTCTTTTCCAGACAATTGAGCCTTGGCCTCTCCCATTTGACCAAGTGTATCTAGGATCATAAAAGCCTAGATCCACAAATCCATAATCTTCAATCATCCTCAAGAAGTCCATGCTTTTATTCAATTGGTAAGGAAGACCCCCAATCTTTTCTTCAATAGATGTAATCATATTGAAGTCTCTAATGACACACCAGGGAATTAAACATATCATAGACTTTTGTCTGAGGCTTTCCCAAAGAGGTCTTCTCAAATTTATTTGCATTTGGCATAGATGACAGTGATTTGGAAAGGTTCTGCATCTTTAGTATGCTGCAATGCGATAGTCAATTACTGCTCATCATGATCAATGACTGTGCCTGTGAAATGCTGATCCCAGAAAATCTAGATTTTATCATTAACATTAGAGGCAGAGTGTTGCATGGATAGTTGAATTCTATAGTGGTTGATGTGGGTACTATCAAGGAAA